AAACTCCGCAGCTAGATTTTCCCAACCTTATTTCAGAAAAACCAAGTATTATAACAGTGTCAACAACAACAACAACAACAACAGGACAAGAAGAAGACAAAAGAGAAGAATCTCTTTTAAAGTGATCCTGGCGATTGGCCGCTTGTTCTCAACGAAAAGAAAGAGACCCGATTTTTTTCAGAATAAGGACAGTGATTTTTCAAAATCTATCAGACCCTACAAGGAAATAAACGACAACATAAAAATGCGAACTCTATCAAAATCAGTTTTCATTCGTACACTAAAGAATGGCGAGAAGGTAGACAGAAAATGGTTACTCTATTCTCCTGCAAAAAAATCGTAGCTGATATTAAATTTTTGGCATCCAGGAAACTTGCATTTCGTAGGGCAAATCAAATAATTGAATCTCCTAGCAATGGAAATTATTTGGGATGCTTGGAACTACTAAGTCAATTTGACCCATTTATTGCAGAACATTGGAACAGATACGGAAATCCAGGAAAAGGTCACACATCTTATCTCTCAGCAAATATTCTCAATGATTTTATCAATGTTATGGGTAAGAAAATGCGAAAACAAATTATAGCTGAAGTGAAGGTATCTAAATATTATTCAATTAGTGTTGACTCTACACCCGATTTAACACATAGGTCAAATGACATTTATAATAACATATGTTTGGGAAGCAAATGTCGTCGAAAGATTCTTGACGTTCATACCCATAGAGAAGGACAAAGGAGATTATTTTGCAAATACCGTTATTGAGTTCCTAGAAAAGCACGATATTGATATTAACAACTGTAGTGGTCAAAGTTACGATAACGCCTCTAACATGGCTGGGCAATACTCTGGTCTTCAAGCAAGACTCAAAGCAAAATGTGAATACACCCTTTACGTACTTTGTGCAGCACACTCCTTAAATATGATACGGGTTCATGCGGCACAGTGCAATATAGAAGTATTTTTCAGTTCATTCAAAATATTTACAATTTCTTTTCCTCTAAAACTTATCGTTGGAATACAATGAAACAATTTTTGGGGTTTGATAAATTGGTGGCAAAATCATTATCTGAAACTAGATAGTCTGCTCGCACATCTGCGGCCACAGCTTTGCAAGACGGTTATAAAGAATTCTTGGCTGCGCTATCATCAATTGCTGAAGATGATGATCAATCGAAAGAGACTAGAAGTTAAGCAGTTGGCATTTTCAAAAAAATGCAGAAGTTGGAAATAATTATTCTTACGAAGATGTGGAATAATGTATTAACAATCGTAAATAAAGTAAATGTTAGTTTATAAAGTAGATCTCTTACGATGGAAGTAGCAATGAAGTTATTGAAATCACTAATTATTTTTTTGAATAATGAAAGAAACTATTTCAAAAAATACTATAGCATTGCTAAAGATAAATTTCCAGATAGTGACTTCAAACAGAATACACAACGTAAAACTGAACGAAGTTCGGGAATCAAATTTTTTGGACTAGCAGAAGAAGCCCCATTTAGTGGCAAAGAGAAATTTAAAATTAAAGTTTTTTTCCAATTATGGATTCGTTAATAGCTTAACTTAACGGCGATTTGCTGCATACGACAGCATTTTCAATCGGTTTGGTTTCCTAACAATTTTAAAAACAATCAGCCAAGTCGATTTGCACCTTAGTTGTTCAAGATTTGTAGACAATTACAGTCTTGATGTAAATGGGAAAGAATTAGAGTTGGAATGCATTCATTTGGCACAATATTTAAATTCAGACAAAATATATAAAACCCAGGAAATCAGTTTATTGGACCTATACAATATTTTAATAACTAACAAATTAGAGGATATATTTCCTAATGTTGCAATTTCATTGAGAATATTTTTATCATTAATGATAACTAACTGCACTGGAAAACGTTCATTTTCTAAATTGGCCAGAATCAAAAACGAACTAAGGAGTACCATGCTGCAAGAGAGACTAAACAGTTAATGTTTCTAGAAAATGATATATTATTAGGTATAAATTTTGATGATATAATAGACGATTTTGCACACCTAAGATCAAGAAAAGAATCGGACACCGCGCGGATTATTTACAGTTATTAATCTTATTGTTTTAGGATGAGATTTCATCTTTGTATTTTAGTTAGAAGAGATTAGGTTTTATTTTAAAATAAATGTTTTGACGACTATATGTAAAATAAATATATACACTAATTGTAAATAATAATTTTAAGTTGTTTTAATTTTGGAGCGGCCCTATTTCCGCCATGGGCCCAGGGCTCCAATCATATGGAAGACGGCACTGACCGCCGGGCGTCCAATTCAGAAAGTATGTATTCTACATATTACAAAGTTATAAAGATATTCTTGTGAAGATCTGTGTTGTGAAGTGCCTCTAGAGGTAAATATATTATATAAAATTCCGAAAAGAGGATGTATATTTATTCTTGATTGTTTCGGCCTTTATACTTGATGAAAATCCATACTGTAAAATGAAAAACAACACTTTTACTTAAAAAATTACAAATTACTCAATGACAATAATTATTGTTTCGAACTTCTTTAAATGTGACTAATTTATATTTCGAAGGGCGCGTCCACACTAATACAATTGTGTGCTGTGTGTTGTATTAACGAAAATATTTGTGACAAAAAATTTGTTTTGTTTACGATATTTTTAGACGAAAACTTTTGTTTTGTGTTTTGTAAGCTGTGAATCCATTTTCGTTGAAACAGGCGGAGCATTGTTTTTAAAAAGATATGTAATATGTACTGTTCATCACCAAGTATTGTACTAATAATTATGGAGTAGAATAACGAAGATTCATTGCATATGCTACAAAAGTATGAAATGTATCATCTACTGCGGGATTCAAACATAAAGAACATTTCAACAAACTAAAGAAAAATGATGCATGGAAAGAAATTGCCAAATATTGCAATACAAAATATAATACTAGCATAGATGAACCGAAAAAAAAAAGTTTTTCAAAATCATCTTGTGATATCCGAAGGAAATTTTGAAATTAACTTATTGTCTATCAATTGATAAAGTTTTTAGTAGAATCGCCACCATTATTGTTTCTGAATTAAAAAGATGTGGGCGCAAGCGTGGACTAAAGTTACTTTTTCGCATGTGTGCGCCAATGATTGCAAATTATGACATTATGACAAACGTCTAGTTAGATTTGAATGTGCATAAGCCTACTTTGGATAGTAAAAAAAATTGTGTTTAAATTATGATTGAAGTATGATATTTGTGAGACAAAGTGTTATATGAATCTTTTAAAGCGATTTCTGTTTCTATTCCTAAAATTTCTAAGTTCGAAGTATTTATGTTAGGTAGGATGTTGTCTTTTTTTATTAAAGTTTGTTCTGAATCAGAGAACATAGTGGTAGTTAAGTTTTTGGATGATTATCAGCTCAGGCCTTGATAGCGTAATATACTGAAGTTTATAATTAAATTGCAAGACTGGTTGTTTTTTAGTCAAAAACATTATATTGCATTTATTGACATTTAGAGACAATTTTTTCGCAGCGCACCAATAAATTTAATAGATTTGTTATGTTGGAGAGAGTGGCAGTCATTCAAACGGTATGAAATGTAGTAAATATTTTACATCAATATTAATTGCGATATCGTTGACAAAAATGTTAAATAGAAGAGGACCCAGAATAGAGCCCTGAGGAACTCCGGAAGTTTGATGTTTGAGATTTAAGATTTGAGATTTGAGACCCAGATATAACAAATTGGGTGTGACTAATTATATGGGATTATATGACAGTCATAAATTCCGACCTCATGAAGTTTTGATATAGTAGTATGCCATGATCCAACCTATCGAAGGCATTGGAGAAATCAGTATAGCTTACGTCTACCTGATTATTTTTGTTAATTGCCTCACACACGAACTGTGTAAAACAGACGAGATTTGTTATAGTTAGGTAAGGTTGAAAATAAGTGGGATGATTTCATCGCCTTCTACTGCAACCCAGATGGATCTATTGTGGCTCATGTCTAACTAACAAGAGTAGTTCACCGTACAAGCCACACGTTTTGATGAAGGCCATGATTGATTTGGGTGAGTCTTGTCGGTAGACTCCAGTCGGGTGAATCAAGAGATCTGGAACCTATTTATTTCCAAAGCGGATCTACCTTATTGAACACTACACATGCATGAACCATAATTCTTTATATTTCTCACAAAAGTTCACAAAAATAGTATTTTATAAATGAATAAATCAATAAGTTACACAGAAACTGTCAAAAACACAAAATAGCTGTTAGATACGATTGGCAACGTTGCGGCTGGTTACGGTAACTACATTTCATTCATAAAAATAGGTACTAGTTGTAAATTCGTAAAATAAGATATTCAGCGTTGCCGTATTTACGAAGTTCTTTGCAACCCTAATATTTTGTTTATATTAATATTGATTTTAAATAAAAAATGTAGCTTATATTAAAACTTTAAAGAATAATTTGATTGAAAACATATTTTTATTTATATAATATAAAATTATAGTTATAGGATACATCAAATTTTATTTTTCAAAAGTAATTTCTCCAAATAATTTTTACAGACTGATAAAACCGGCAAAGACGCAATAAACGAGAATCTGGTGGGAATAATGATTTGCCACGTAAAAATGTAAACAATTTGGTCTCTTAGTTGTAATGTCTTTGAGATTATATTAGTTCTGTTTTAAAAACTGCAATATTTAGAATTAATTAAATGATATAATTATTATTAATATCATTCTAATATAACTGATACGTAGCTGTAAACGAGCTGTCACCTAGGTATTAATTCCTCCTTGACGTAGACAAAAACTACTAAAATATACATTAATTATTCATTACGGAGATTTATTAAGCTTTATCTTCAGAAAAGCCATCTGGTGTAACGTTGATTTTTATTATGTCTAACACATATCTATAATATTAACAGTAAACATCCGTTATCGCTAATGCTAGGTCATTATTTTTCACATAATCATCATCGTCTATTTTGCAGGCTCAAAAAGAAGAAAGGCTCATTTTTCCAATCGATCACTTCCTTACAAAAGAACAGTGCGAAAGTGTCCACGAAACGGGACCAGTTGGAGGAGAAATCGACAGGAGCCAGGAATGATTACCTTCTGTGCCTCGCCGCAGCCAACGCACATCAAACCAGGTAATAAACCCTTTTTACACCTCGTTCTTATCTATATTTAAGTATGTAGAAATTTAGACATCATTTTTGCCGACTGGAAGTTATAAAAACGGCAATTTAGTTCAGTCATTCGAGTTTGCAAACATAATACGAGTATATGGAATGATGCCGAATAATAATGGAAAAAAACATTTATTTAATCTACGAAGGTTTTTGTAAAGTTTGTTAAATTCTTTGAGTTGTTGCCACATTTGTTGCATTTGTTCAAAGCCGAGTTGGATGATAATAATCTGTCGAAAATCATGAAAGCGCCGTCTAAAGAACGTTATTTGAAACTTTACAATAAATTTACATAATAACCAAAAATGATACGATAAAAATAGTGGTTTTACTACTATATTATCTCCTAACAATTTTAAATAAATTAATTTGAAGTAGAAGAATAAAGTTTTGTATTGAAAAAGTTTGCTTTCATTTTATCCACTTGCAAAGTTTGGCCAGATTTTATTCACTGGCAAAATATTTTTTTTTCTCGCTTTATTGGCAATGGACATTAGTCCTTCAGCCACACACAAGGCAAAATATTAAAAGTGTCATATGAAACTTTTAATAAACGAGTTTCCATGGTCCCCACATTCGATTACGGACCCTGGACCCAAGACCAGAGACCCCCCTTACGTTTTTAACAAGCGAATAATATATCTGGCATCACTGTAAACTGTCTGTATCGTTGAATTCAAGCAATGTGCAGGCCATTAAAAAATAAGGATTGTGTAATTTAATTACAACCAACCAATTGTAAATTTATCGAATGGTGATTTTTCTAATCACATAATATCAGGAAAAACTGAAACTTTAATTTTTGGCGGAAAAATAGCTATACGGGTGCAGTTAATGAAACTTATAATTCCAGGAAAATCGTACGTCATAAAAACCTAGTTTTTATGGTACAAAATTAATCTAAATAGTCTTTAATAGTTCTTTAATATTTTGTGGAAATTTTATAAAATTGTTAATATTTCTGGACACAACGTGTGATACAGAAGAGCTTTGAACTACCACTTGCAAGAAACCGCAAGTAAATTCATATCTGTAGATAAAACATACATGAATTAATAATTAAATTCTTACACGGTAAGATATAAAAAAATATTCATTCAATATCCATTAAATTCAAAAAATGGATTTTGCCTCTGCATGTCTGAATCTTTGAGGATTCTTATCAAGTTTTCTAATTGTATAATTAATAATAATTGAAAGAAATTCTCAGCTATTAGACTTTTTTAGTACTGCGAACCATATTTATAAGAAATTAGATACTTTTTTAGGTATTAATAAAAAGTAGTTTACCTAGAATTTGTTAAAATCAATCAATATTATTAATCATCCTAAAAGTGACATATAAGTGACATTGGCTAAATCCTTGAAAACATGCACGTTTTATCAAAAAAGTGTGAAAAATTCCGTTCGCTGTAAAACACTCGTTTTAAAATCGTACACGCTTTTAAAACGAATATCAAGAATATTGAACAGCTCGCATCTTGCTATTCGCTCCGTGCGCGACCGCAGCGCCAATTCGTTTTGGTATTAATGGACTATTTCTGTGTATACTGACAAATACAATTTTTAATAGAATTCGTAATTAAAAAGTATATATGTTAGTTTTAATAAAAGTATATGGATATGTAAAACAAGTAAAACATTAATTTATTATTATTATTATATATTTTTAACGCTTAAATTAAAGAAAATTATGTATAATCAATGAAAATCAATAATAAAATATAGGCAGGCAACAGTATTTACTGGAAAATGTATGAGAAGTTGCTTAAGTCTAATAAGTTGTCATTGAAGAATTAGCCTGTTCTGTCAAAATAAAAAAAATACCATTTAATAATAGCATGAAGTTAAAATGTATAAAAAAAGGATCGCTATTTATATGTTCATTATTGTTCGAAAGAAAACATAGAATGAATGATTAAAACTGGTTTCTCATCAGTAAGTCACAAAATTACATTCCATCGACATGTAATAATCAAAGGCAGAAATCTTGAAATCTAGTCCTTGCTGAATGAACATTTAAAATGAACATTTTAGAATAAAGGGACATTAAAGAACATCGTAAAATGATAATTTATTTGTTTATTTAAAACCTTTCAAATTTCTGATGCCAACTATTTATAGTATTACTGTTATTATTACAAAAATATAGGTAATTTTTCTTCTTATTGTACATCTATACATTTATTTCTTTGATTTAATTCCCACTTTGCTACTGAAATTTTTTATATAAGTTTCACTGTTTTGTTTTTGCTACTATTTGTACAATTTTCAACACAGCAACTCCGGTTGCTTATTGTATTGTTTGTACTTACTTTTTTGAAAAAAAAAGTAAAATGTATACGTGTATTTGATATGCCAAAATTACAAAATATCGCCCTAAAATGCACGAATTATCCGCAGCTAGCGCTAGTATCGCTTTTGCTTCCCTTTCCATGACTTCGCACGGAGCGAATAGCACAAGTAGGAGTTGGAAAGGCTTTTGGTAGGTAGAGAAGGGGTAAACGTCAAACTATGTCGGACGGCTTCGAGAATTTCGCAGTAATGTTTACCTGCCAGTGTAGTTTCATAGAATAAGTAATTTTAAATTGTTACCGGCGGAACCGGACAATCGCATTTATTTATGGACTATAAATAATTATTAAACATGTATTATAATATTCAAATCATAATTTTTCAAAATTTCAACAGCTATTCATAATTTATTAAACTATTTACTTAAAATTGTTATTAACATCTATAAAATAATTTTGTACGTCAATGTATCGCGTCCACTTCGGTTAGATTCGCCGAAAACCTGTCAATTTATGTGTATAAAGTGGGAGAACAACTTCTACTTGTTTGTGCTATAAAGCGTATACGTTTTTTAGAAAACGGTAGCTGAGGATAGGGTCCCTGACCTAACCTAACCTATGTACGTCCGCAAATGCCATTTTGTTCTTGCGTTTGATAGTATTAGTATGGTAGTTAGTGACACTTTTAGGTGTGTTATTCGCCAAAGGTAAAATTACAAATATTTAGCTCATTATTACCTTGTAGAACGAGGTAATAGTTTTCTGCGCAGCGAGGAAGCCCTCAACAAGGCCTTTTGAAAAAAGCCTGTGTAGAAAAAAGTTTACTACCACTAGTCCAATTAAATAGACCTTTAAATCAAAATTTTGAAGGAAATACAGGATTTTCCATTGACAATAGGTTGTAGTTGTGGGCCAATTTTACTTGTACCAATTATTAAAAGAGATTTAAGATGCTCATCGGTTAACTTAGATCTGTAAACATTCTTTGTGTACTTCATTTTGGAGAATGTGCTCTCACACAAAAACCAAAAACAGAACACGAGCAAATTTATGCAGATTATCAAATTGTACCAGTGGAAGACTCTAACTAGGGTTTCAATGTCAGCATCAAAAGGATTTTGAAAAATCTTAATGTCATTCGCAATGACATCAAGGTCTGAGAAACGAGTATTAAAATTTATCTTCAAAGCACTAAGACATTTTTTACGTAATTGTGATTGAAACAGTATTATTTTCTGCCGGAACGATTTCATATTAGCACATAAATCAGGAAGAAGCTGGTTTTCTCCTTGCAATCTCAAATTCAATTCGTTCATATTATGTTTTGTCAAATCGACATAGAATCATCTACAGCCATTCGCTATTTTGTAATTCGGTAGAGAACAATGCTTTTCATTCAAAAATTTCGATGACTGCTCGAAGTTCAGAAAAGCGCTGAAGGACTATTCCGCAACTAAGCCAGCGTATGGCAGTATGATATGGTAAGTCATTTTCTCCCATCTCTTCAATAAACTCGCGGAATTGTCGGTGATTCAGCCTATTGGATCTCATGAAATTAACAACTGATATGACTGGTTTTAGAACTTCAGACATATTCAAACATTTTCCGCACAAGGACTGTTGATGAATGATACAATGTAAGACTAATGGTCATTTTCTACAGCCTTTGACACAAGTGCAATCACTTATTTATTTTTACCACACATGTTTTTGCCTCCATCAATTTTTCCATCGAAGATTCTTTTATTAATGGTATTTTCAACTCCCTTAAAAATATCTTCCCCAGTAGTCGTGCTATGAATACTATTCAATATCAAGAAGTTCTTCATACACTTAATAGCTTTTATCTACTCCTCGAATAAAAATCAACAACTGAGCAGTATCTGACACGTCCGTTGATTTATCCAAGACCAGATAAAACCTCTTAAGGTGTCCATCTTTGTCAGATAGTTAAGATGATATATTTTCTGCGATGTCTTGTATCCTCCGATCAACGGTATTTGCTGGCAGTTTTAAATAAATTTACCTTTTCAGGGCACATTTCTTTGGCTACTGCAATTACGTATTCTTTGATCATTTCTCCATCGGTGAATGGTTTTCCACGTTTTGCGATTTCAAGAGCCACACGAAAGCTGGCACGAGTTGCAGCCTCTTGATCAAAACTGACTTTGCTGCGATTTTAAACCGCGCTTCAAAGCTTCAAATTTTTCTGTCCACATACTTTCTGTATATTTTGAGTAATGTTCTATATTTCGCTTCTTTTCCATACTAGTGAATCACACACAAAAACAACAAGTCAAATCAAAATACTGTTACGTAGGTGTGTTGGCCGGTTCGAAGATATCTTTTGAACGCGGTTACGAACTACTTTATTTCACAACAGACAGTTTTGCTTCTTTCGTCTTCCCTAGACAGACTGCCTCGCGGTCGCATCGCTAGCCTTTTTATACTCAAATTGATACCGTCTTGAAGTGAGCGAAATACACCAGAACTTTCTCGAACCACTGAGGTTATTCATGAATGTTTAATTGTTACTGCGATTTGGAAAGTACGACTAGCGCCAGCTGTTAGCGATAGAGAGTACTACCACTACCTATTTCTACTTTTGACCACCAGATTTCGTCAAGTGTCACGGTCGTAACAATAAACAATAGTAATTCAACTAGCGAATTTAGCAAGCGTATGCTCGTTCAGAGCGCGTACTGGGCGACTAGTCTATAAATTATAGATGGAACTTACTGGAGTAATCAGTATGGCCCTAAGGCTAGAAAGTTTGGAGACCCCTGTATTAGACGATACTGAGTATGATCATATTTATTTACCAAACCCCACGCTATCGGGATTTACAAAATATATTGCTTGTTATATTGTATATATTCTTTTAAAAAAAGGCTTAATTGTGTGCAGATCACAAATATTTTAGTTTATTGACAAAAAAAAATTAAAATAGCCTACAATATCTCTCTATGGATGTGTTAGACGTTTGTCTTTAATGTGAGCAAATAATAAAAAGGAGCTGTACTTTAAATTATCCACCTTATTTTAGTAGAATGTGTAATGTCTTCAGTGTCGTTTATAAATAAAAATATATTTGCAAAGTGCACAGTTTTGATCAAAATGCCTTGTATATCCACAGGGCCGCCAAGAGCCAGGTGGGGCCCCGGGACAATGTTATAAAAAAAAGTCCTTTCGATATCACATTTCTAAAAAACAAAAAGAGTCCTCAAGCAAAAATTTAAAAAATTCAAAAAAACTTTTTAGTGAAACCTCTAAAAAAAAAGGTCCTTATCTTGTATTTTACATAAAGCAGCGCTCGTCCCTTTTGTAGCTTTAAAAAAATAAAACGTCCTCACCTAAAGCAGCCTTTGTGCTTGGGCCCCGGAAATTTGTCCCGCCTGCCCCCCTCTCGTCGGCCCTTTATAACCATAATTATAGAGTAGTACTATTAATTAAAGCTGTAGCTAACAAATATACAAACATTAGGATGTTTTACTTCATTAAAAATAATATAAAAAATATGATAGCATAAGTCAACACAATAATAAAATTATTTGTTATTTTGCATTATATTTTCTATTAATACCTACCTATTTAACAACTGTTTGATTATTTTGTGTTAGATCAGTTACGGTCTAACATAACAGTTATGTTTAACCATGTAATATCAAATCAAATTCCCAAACTTTATAATTATTATTCTATAATAAAATCTTCCACTTACACATTTTTTATTCCTTGAAATTTATTTTATCAAAAATTGGAATTACTGAAAGTTAGTTATTATAACTTACATTTACTAAAAAAAAAAGAAAAATGTAGGTTTGAGTTGCATTAAAAATAGTGCGTATCTGGCGAATCGGCCATATTGAGTGGACATAAGCCGCGCCCAATGATACCGTTTTGAATATTTGAAAAAGATGCGTATAGTGTCTCCCTACCTTCTATCTACATGGGTACCCCTCAAGTAACATGAACTACGTGTGTGTCGTAAAAGATCATAGGTACTGCCCGAGAGTGGGATTACAATAGCCGAAACCGGTTGCCGTTTGAATTTTTCAATAAATGTATGTACTATATGATTTCGTGTTCTATATTTTATTACTATATTCCCCACATTTGTTTTTCTAAATATACCTGTTGAAGATAACCCATTCATTTCTAGGTACTTCGTCGTAGATCTGCAACTCTGCATGACGACGATGGAAAGTGGCGTCTACGACAAAGTAGCCGAATACCTCTCGCTGATGGGTCGAACCGAACTACTCACCTGCTCGGCCATGCAGAACTCCTTCAGCACAATCCGCGACCAGGCCAAACAGCTCACCAGAGACTACAACCTCCAATGCTGCTACCTCTACTATCCCGTGCTGAAGCAGCACATCCACTACGAGTTCGATCCGTGCGACAGCGATCCCGTGGACCGCGTCACGGCCGAACACGATTCGTCTTCGGCAACGTTGAGCAAAGAGGCTAGGCGATGGGCCACGAAGATCGCCAGAGAGAACAACACTATTAAGGAGAGCATCAGGAAGATGCAGATTTATCATGCCCTGAAAGAGTCTGGACAGAAGGTAAGCAGTCAAAACAATAACTATAGATGGTTCCTTTTTCTTTTCCATTTCTTCAATATCAATTATCTTCTTGTGCTCCTCTTCTTCTTCTTTTCTTCTTCTTCTTCTTCTTCTTCTTCTTCTTCTTCTTCTTCTTCTTCTTCTTCTTCTTCTTCTTCTTCGTCGTCGTCGTCGTCGTCGTCGTCGTCGTCGTCGTCGTCGTCGTCGTCGTCGTCGTCGTCGTCGTCGTCGTCGTCGTCGTCGTCGTCGTCGTCGTCGTTGTCGTCGTCGTCGTCGTCGTCGTCGTCGTCGTCGTCGTCGTCGTCGTCGTCGTCGTCGTCGTCGTCGTCGTCGTCGTCGTCGTCGTCGTCGTCGTCGTCGTCGTCGTCGTCGTCGTCGTCGTCGTCGTCGTCGTCGTCGTCGTCGTCGTCGTCGTCGTCGTCGTCGTCGTCGTCGTCGTCGTCGTCGTCGTCGTCGTCGTCGTCGTAACAATTCTTCTTGTCAGATTAGATAAATCGGTAACAAATATCTCTTGATAAGACTTCGCGGTTCTGACATTCAGCAGGTCAACTCAACTTGTAATATGATCTTATTATTTTATCTATTTTTATAGTGTTTTAAGCTCTATGATTTTGGGGAGTGGGTCAGGTTATTAAACAACTCGTATAACTTTGAAAAAGAATGTTGGACGCCACTATATTTAAACTTTCTAAACTTGACAAGCGATTAGTGATGAAAATATAGAAAATCACTAATCATAATGATATTATAATTAAATAAGGTAGCGACAAATTCTAATTCACAGAGACTTAATTATTCAAATTTAAATGATTTATTAATAACTTATCTGTGCTATCAGAGGTAACATTTAAGGAGTGACTGTAGAAGACTTCTTGTTACATTTTCAAAGGTAAAGTGAAATCTCGTTAACTTCTTTCGGTGGTGGAACTAAACTTCTTGATGTATTCTAAACAGGCAGCGTTCTTCTAAAATTCATCTAGATACAGCTTATATTGAACTATCTATATAGTTTCTATTGAACCATCTATATAACTTCTATAGGACCATCTATATACAGCAAGGCTTTATAAAATCAGACGGTCATTAAAAATATTTAAGATAATTAGTACATCGGATGTACCCGAGTTTTGACACAAGGCATACACGACAAATGACGTTTGTGTAGAGATGGTGGTTTCAAAATAACGAAAACGGTTTCAACCGTTACAATGTCTGGGACTAAATAACGAAAACGGTTACAACCGTTACAAACTACAAACAAGTCTCAATAACATTAAAAATCGGCATTTTAGAATATACTTTTCTTTTTCCGATTACCTGGTTATTATCTTTTATTTCGAATGAATATGGCGCAAAGAAACACCATCCACAACGGAATGAAAATATGAGAAAAATCGATGAAATGAGTTTATGACTAGGTAGGTACGAGAGCTGTTATAATTTGATTTATGGACGCTTTATACCTAATCCAAAATTTAATTAAAGCCGCCAAAGAATTTAGTGCAACTAATAAAGAAACGAGAATGTAATATTCGCTCGAAATATGTCTACAGTGTGGATCATAATAATTTATATGTGATTCGAGAATTTATTTTTCCTGTAAAAGTGTGTTTCTTTTCATTGCATTTAACCTAAACCATGAATGTATCTACAGTTTCACCAACTATAGCAAGAGTATACAGGTTTGGGATAGCAATTGCATGCATCTTTTTTTAATATCAAATATTCTAATCGAGAATAATTTTCTTTACTAACATAACATATAATTATTCAATAATGCAGCGATAATGCTTGTTAAGATTTCAATTATAGACCGTCAGATAGTGACCGATTTAGGTGCCCTAGTTTCGCATACAAGCCTCGAAGAGGGTTGAAAAGCACATCGATGTTGAGTAGAATAAAAGAAAATTTACGAGTGGCTTTTGGGGAAAACACATGGAAAATTCGATTTTCCATATCAGAATAAATTTCCAACCCCAAAATGCACTTATACATTCAGGTCGATCGGGAAAATATATTTTTCGGACTAGTGACAATGTACGTTTTCATACATTCGATGGGCTTGTGTGGAAAAATTTGGTAAAATCTCGATTTTTCCTTAGAAGATTACGCCCTTATTTCAACCCTTTAGCCACTTTTACCATTAAAGCCTTTGGTTTTCCGAAGCCTAGTTCTATTAATTAATCATATAGTGAAAACGGCTTGCGTGGAAATATGAGCAACAAGTAACCTTTTATTTTTGTTGGGGAAAATCGAATTTTCCATGTGTTACCCGGTTACTTAAAATCGATGTACGGTCTATTAGTTATAATCTATATACCTACCTACTTGTATTTGTTTTATAGTTGAATTGATCTAGTGATGATTTTTATTAATTGATGACTTTGTTTTTGTCAAAAAATGTAATATAATAAAAAACATTGAATTCAAACTGTTTATATATTAATTGCTTATGGGCCCAGAATGAGTCATGAGATACATTAAACATCCTACTAGCTCTCTGTATGGTTTACTTTTAGGAGTACTTTGATGGATGTCTTACTTTAAATTATTTTCCATCGGAATTCTACATGTTAAATTCTACATTATTAAACTTATCAAGAAGTTTTTAAATGTGACCCAGGTTGATTTTTTTTAATATGTGATGTGTGTATTAGTGCAAAACAACCTAAGTTACCTTGTTCACATAGTAGAACTAGGACTACTAAACCACATATATTTGTGGTCCGATTACACCGGCAACTTGGGACAATACAAAATATTTTGTAACCTTTTTAGATGAGTTTACTCTTATTTATTATCACATAAATATGAATTACTTGAAGTAAGGTCGACCTTCGCCCATCTGCTTACCGGATGAAAGTTTTTTTAATAAATAAAATATATTTTTAAATATATCTCAAATGGGTAGCCTAAGAAAATACTGTCAAAACTATTTATTTTCTGAAAATAAAAAAAACGACACCCAATAAAGTATCCCCCAGATGCTTCAACTATGCCCAAAATTTAATTAGCTCTCCGCAGGATGGATAGAAGATTAAGTTTAAAATAAAATAACTTTTTTTATCCGTTTTTGAGTTATCTTTAAAATTCGAAATTTACACTTTTCTTCAAATATTTCAAATACTGTCCATTTTTGGGAAATCATGTACAGGAGAAGAATTATAGAGAATGATATCACAAGCAACTTTTATCGTGATTTCTATACTTTCCTTTTACTTTTCTTTTATATATTCTAACCTCCAGGTTTAAGAACATATAAAAGTTTGGTTTGTAAGCTTTAATAAGGCTCTATATGGTCTAAAACAAACCTCAAGATTCTCGTATACACATTTTAATATTTTTATGGAAAAAATACAATATTTAAGGTGTGAGTCTGTTTCTATTTCAAACAAGTTAATGATATTATTTTATATTTGGTGTTGTATGTTGATGATATTATTCTTGCAAGTAATTCTGAGAAAGAAACTGATGGTTTTAAAGAGGGGTTGACCAAAGAGTTTTAGACTAGAGACTTAGGAAAAATCGATATGTTTACTGGACTAACAAGTTATAAAAGTAATTTTAAAAAACTGACTTCAAAATCGTGCATATGTTCTTAAAAAATTAGATTTTTGATTTTCTCATACATCATCAGATCCTGACCAATTGTATATGAAATTACCCCTGAGGTATCCCCTTTCTAATAAATTTCATAGAAATCGGACAACGCGTAGTAAATAATTATCGCTGAACATACATAAAAAAAATATTCCTACGAATTGAGAACCTCCTCCTTTTTTTGTCGGTTAAAAAAAATAAGACAAGAGAATGGGGACATAAAGGTCAACCAGTCATTAGAATCAAAAATTTCTTGAAAAGTTTTAATATGACTTACTGTAGTCCATGTAGAAATCCGATGGAAACTAATTTAAAGTTAGAAATGCATCAAGGTACTTCTACAAGTAAACAGAGAGCTAGTAGGATGTTTGATGTATTTCATTACCCATTATAGGCCAGACTTGTTTTTCAGTTTCGTACCTTAGTCGATTTCAATGAAATCCTTCAGATAATCATAGGTCATATTTAAAGCGTCTCTTACGTTTTTTAAAATTTTCGCAAAATTTCAGTTTAATTTTTATAAAAGAAAATATTGATAATTGTTTAGTGGAGTACGGTGATGCTGACTTTGCAAATGATTTAAAAAAATAAAAAATCTACAATAGGATATGTATTTTTTTAATGGCATGACCATATCCTGGTGCAGCAAAAAATATATGTTGCATTATCGTCGACAAGGCTGAATATAATGCTCTTGCTACCCCAATTTCTGAGGATCTTTGGTTAAAATGTTTCTTAGGCAAAATAAATATGTCTTCTAATGAGCCAGTTAAAATGTTTGAAGATAATCAATCTTGTATAAAAATCGCCCACGAAAACAGAAAGCATCAGAGATTAAAAAATATTGATATTAAATATAATTTTATTAGAGAAGCAATCGAATAAAAATATTCTAATAAATTATATTTCTACTCGTCAAATTGCAGATATTTTTACAGAAGGTCTTTCCCCATGTAGTTTTGGATATTTTTTTAGGGTTGTTAAATTTAAATAGTAATAGATTACAAGGGAGTGTTAAGATTTAAGTTAGTTATAATCTTAGATGAAAGAGACAGGAGATGTAACATTGCACATAGCACATGTTGTCTATTCCTACCTTAAGTAACCCATCAATTAAAAAACATTATGTCCACGACGCCACCCGAATTGTCCCGACATTTCTATTCTACGCACTTCACCGCGAGAGTGAATCATCATGGACCGCCGTTTTTTGAATTATTTGTTGGTGTTATTAGCAATTTAAAGTATTTTGGTTATTCAATTTCAAGTTGAAAATGCAACGATGTATCGTAAAAAATTGTATATACAAATAATATAGGTGCCAATGTTATGAAAAATAAGAAATATATTCGTTTTCAATGGTAAATATTTATTAACGTTTTGACATAAAGGCGACATGATCCTTTGAGCTAAATACTTCAGATCCGCATGAAGGGGTTTCAATAAACATTAAGCATAAAATATTTCAGAAAAATGATTTCATAGTACTTACAAACATTTTCTAAAGGGAAAAATTTTGAACATTTAATGTAAATAAGAAGAAAAAGGGCATTGTTGCTAAAGAAATTTCGTTTTTAAAAAGTAGTTTTAAAAGAATATTTACTGAAGGTGGTTTTTAGCCCTTTTTGGTAGATAAATAAGAAGTAAAAAAGCATATTTGCTAGCGAAATTTTATTTTTATGAAGTATTTTGATAAGAATATTAGACAAAATGCAGGATTTTAAAACGCACACTATGATCTAGTATAAGCAAAAAAAATACTAAAGTTACAGGAGTTAGTAACATTGTTAATAAAATGTTACATTATAAACCCCTAAACAATTCTAAAAAAAATTTTGTTTACTAAAAAAATTTAAATTCTTGCAATATTTAATATTTATTATACATTCGAATGCGGTTTTAGGGATAACGGAATCAAAAATATGCGAATCTCAAAATTTGCTCGTATAAAAGCAAGCGACCGATAGGGTTACAAAAATCATCGATTAATCGGTTTTAAATTATTATTATTTTTTAATGATAATGGAAAAATAGATTTCAAAGGAAATACAAAAAGAAAATAGATTTATTGAAAAATATATTTATTGTTTGATCGCTTTTTTTAATTAATCGATTATTTTCGATTTTTCAAAGGTTGAATAATCAATTTTAAAGGAAATACCAACAAAATAGATTATTTTAAAATAATCGATAATTCGGTTATTTTTTTGGAAAATCGATTTCTCGTAGAATCGATTTCTTAATTAATCGATTATTTTCGAATAATCGATCATTTTTAATATTCAGAGATAATCGAATAATCGATTTTAATAGAAATACGAAAAAAATAAATGATTTGATAATCGATTATATTAAATAATCGATAATGCTGTTGTTATTTTTTTTTTTGAAAAAACGATTTAAAAGTAAACCAGATTTTTAATAAATAAATTATTTTTGATTAATCGATTATTTTAGATTTTTCAAGGAATCGAATAATCTATTTATTATTTTTTGTAAACACCGGTTTTTAATTGATAGATTATTTTCGACTTTTCAAAGATAATTGAATATTCGATTTTAAAAAAAAAATATGAAAAAAATTGATAATTTATTTCGATAATCGCCCACCTTTAGCGACCGAATGATTTATTAGGTTTAAATTTTAAAATATCTGGTTTCAGAAATATGCATTTCTGGAGATTCATGTGAGGTTACTATACAAAACAGCAATTTTCTCTTTTTGACTAACTTTTAATATTATGTAACAGCTGTAGAAAAAATATAATGTTCAACTCACAAGATGTGATTTGCAGTATTCGCCTGCGTACATGCTACTATTTTAATACTCGTAGACAATGAGTACCATTGCTCGATTAACAATATTTTATTTTAAAATTTTATTGTAGTCTATAGAAAATAAAAGTTAATGAAATATTCTATAAGAGAAGTATTGTATTTTCTTTACATAAAATATCGTTGCATCTGTTTGATATTAGAAAATCACGTGTTAAGTTTATTTCATAATACAACATTCCATTAAACACATTTTTAATAAATCTAATAGTTCATTATGATGGTAATAAACAAACGCCGTCCCTGTCACAGAGTTCGGGTCTCCTCCCAGTTCCCCCACTCCGTTAACATTTCTTTAGAAATTGGCAACATTTGTGCAGGTTAAACACCGTAGTATGTTATATCTCTGGTCTCTTTTGTCTAAGGTTATAATCTATATACTTACTTGTATTTGTTTTATAGTGGGACTGATCCAGTGGTGATTTTTAAAGATTGATGATTATCAAATGTAATATAATAAAAAAACTTGGAATTCTTAAGTATATATTAATTATGGTTTGCATTAGTGGGTATTTTAAAACGAAAACATCACTGTTTTCAACTTCTGCCACACGAGCAAATAATGACTTAAAAATTTGTATATACAGAGAACCTATTTTTCTTAATTAAATAAATTATATTTGTCAGAATTTTATTTAAATATAATTGCGTATATCATATTGTTCTGAAAAAGAGATGTAGGGGTGACACAATACATTTAAAAAGATACAGCTTTAAAGCAAGGAACTTATATTAAAAGTTATTGTTTGTCCGGTCTTTTTTGTAGCAACAGTGTGTACCAAACTAAACAGTTTATATTTTTGCTTTCAGGTAGATCCCAATGACCAAAACGGACCTGACCTCGATACGAAAATCGAAGAAATGAAGCAGAATGTCAGGAGGGCAGAGACGGCTAAAGCGAAAGCAGAAGCAAGAATAGAGTGTTTACGACTTGGAGGCGTGAACGTCGAGGAATGGTTGCAGGAGGCTGAAACGCTGAACGTGCAGGACATACAGCGATCCACTAGTTCCTTATCGGTAAGTTTGAGTTAAAAAAAAATGAATTGAAAACATTGAAAATTATTTATCTTTATCTTTTATTCCTATTTTACAAACGATTTTTTTAAACGCTCTAAGGATAAAATTAAAATCCAATAAATCAGAATGGAAAAATTCTTTTGAATTTGTTTATATACTTTGTTGGGTCTTACAGCCGTATGCATAGTCGATCGCCAGCGACTCGCCAGAGATTCATTTCGGCGCATCGCCAGCGATCCGCCGGCGAAAGCACGAAATGGTGGCGACTCGCTGGAGATTGTCACCGGCATGTCATTTCACTCAAGTTTTCATGTTCTTTTATAGGGAAAAATTTGATATTCGTTCATTGTTTTTTGAGTTTTAAGAAACGAATCAATAATAAAATGCGAGAGATGCCGGTGATAATCCCTATAAAAGAACATGAAAACTTGCGAGAAATGACATGCCGGTGACAATCGCCAGCGGGTCGCCACCTTTTCGGGCTTTCGCCAGCGGATCGCCAGCGAGTCGCTGGCGATACGCCGGAATGAATCTCTGGCGAATCGCTGGCGATCGACTATGCATACGGGTGTTGGGTCCTCATCAAAAATATCCAATAAATTGTTACTCGTGCTTGAAGGATTATTAAATTAAAATATTAAAATGGTGCATTTTTGTGAAATTCCAGGAAAACCCAAGTTCGGAATCTTTCTATGACAGCGACTTTGCGGATGGAGAGCCGAGCGTCCCGCTCGATGCTTCCCGAACGGAGGTGGTAATAAAGGAGGAGGTGGAGCGAAGAGAGAGTCACCATTCTGATCACTACGAAAGCGCAGAAGTCGATGGTAAGTAATAAATATTGTTTTCGTACTATCGCGTAAAAACCGACTCTGTTCTTTATTACCGTACCCGCAACAGGAAGTCTAGCGTTGGCCATATCGAGACCCTTCTCGAAACTCGAGAAACTGATTGGAATGTTTTCCATCGCAGTCTGGCGCATGCAGGATAATTTCTGGAACTTCCAGACTGAACTTCTAGTCAGAGTTGGTTCTTTCGAGAGCGTCACATTTTTATATAAATAGCCGAAATTTTGTCGATAGAAAATAAGTTTTAATTTAAGTGCTGTATAGAAAAGATAAATTGTAATAAATAAATTAAAATTTTAAGTTGTAATAGTGCCTAGGTATTATATAAATTAATTTGCACGTTATAAATACAGTGTTTTAAATAAATACAACTATAAATAAAAATAAATAAACGTTACATTGGTGTTAGAACTGGATCTGTAAATAAATAGTGGAGAAAAATGGCTAAAAACTTGTGCGATTTAAAAATGGCTGAATTACGTCGGAAATTAGAAGATCGTGATTTGTAGACGACAGGAAAGAAAGCAGAGCTGGTAGTGCGGCTTAAAGAAGTACTAGAAAGTGAAGGTTTGGATCAGGAAACGTATGTATTTCCTGATCATGTGTCTTTTATAATTTTTTCTTTGGAAAATTAAATGTCCTCTATAAAAACTGAAATGTCTTCTAATGTTTCCTCTATAAAAAATGATATTTCCTCCTTAGAAACTAAAGTTTCTTCCGACATTTCCTCCTTAGAAAATAAAGTCTCTTCTGATATTTCTTCATTAGATAATAAAATTTCTTCCCTAGAAACTAAAGTTTTTTCAGAAATTTCTTCTTCAGATAGTAAAGTTTCTTCCTTAGAAGAAAAGGTGTCTTCTGAAATGTCTTCTATGGAAAATAAGATATCATCAGTCGAGAATAAAATAATGTCTTCTGTCGAGGATAAAATAAAAGAGATGAAAAAGTAGAAGAACTGGAACATACAGAACCGGCCAAGGACGGTGAAATAAAGTGCCATGAGGTGGAGTCGAAGTTAAAATTGAAAGGAGCTGTAAACCCTGCTCGTGTTAAAGCCCCAACTTTCGACGGATAAATGTCATGGATCAACTAGGTTAAACAATTCGAAACAGCTGCCCGAGCAAATGAATGGTCTGAATTAGAGAAGGTAGTAAATTTGACCATCGAGGAGATGCTTTAGATGTCCTTCAGACTATACCTGTGGAAGAGACCGATGACTTTGAACAACTTAAAGAGACTTAACATGCGATATGGCCACGAACATTTGGAGCATCTATACCAATAACAGTTAAAGATCGCAAACAGAAACGAGATATTGCCAGGTTGGTGCGATTTGCCTAGCCATTAGCTCCCGAAAACATGATGGAATATTTGGCAGTTCAATAATTTGTTAATGGACTCCGTGATCACAAGATACAGAAAACACTCCGCTTAGTATGTCACAAAACATTGGTCGTATTGTCCGTTGCTCTAGAGGAAATGAGGACTGTAAAAGAAGAAAACGTGGAAGATAAACTCGACCAACTAGTTAACATAATGTGTTGACAAAAAATAAAGACGAAGACTATCAGGTGCTGGAATTGCGGTGAACTGGAACATGTACGCAGTTCCTACAAACGCCCTAAGGTTCCAACAACTGAAGACAACGCGACTTTCATAATGATAGCCTCTTTGAAATGTCGCGATGATAGTGTATACGTAGACAGCGAAGTAAATGGTAAAAAGTACCTATATACTGTTGGTGGATACTGGAGCAACTAGGACCATTATACGACCAACAACCATAAATAACCGTAAGAGACTTCTACACTTCCTTGAGAAAATAGGATTGGAAGGGCCGCTATAGGCATTGACACATTTCCTTAATGCAGTGGCGACAGAAGGGGGCACAATAGATCTTTTAGGTCGCAGTGTATTAACACCCTATTCTCAACATAACATAACAGAGACTTCTACCAACAAGATTGCGACTGCGGACTGCCACAGGTGAAAGTACCAACATCCATGGGGAAATCCAGGTTCAATTGGGAATTGGTACAGAAAAGGTCACTCATACTGTTATTATTGCTAATATCGAACAAAATGTTATACTTGGAATGGATGTTATAAACTTACATGGTTTTCAGTTAGACTTTAAGAACAGAGTGATCAAAGTTGGTGCCGAAGAGGTATTCCTACATCCATATGGGGACCGTACCGTGCTAGTAGATGTATAGGAAGACACGTTGATACCTGGTAGAAGTGAAACCATTATAGTAGCACGGCTTCAAGAAACTATGGAAGAAGGAACACCTGTCATGATGGAACCTTGGAACCACGATGAAGAGGTTGGACGAGATATTCTGATCGGAAAGGGATAGGTCACGACTGTTAAAGAAATTCCAGTCTGTCTCATAAACGTTAATGATCACCCAATTACCATCAAGAAAGAGACCAGAATCGGAACCTGTGTACCAGTAACTTCTATAATTCGTCAGACAATAACTTCTGATAATTCTAACAACAAATTCGAGCAAATGATTGCAGTTGCAGGTCAATCTTTGAATCAATTAGAGAAAAAGAAATTATAGGAATTTCTTCGACGATATCGTGATATTTTTGTACCAAAAAGAGGAAAAACAAAAAGAACTTCTGTTGTGAAACACAAAATTGACACTGGTGACGCCAGGCCGATTCTTCAATCAGCTTGAAGATTACCAAAGGCCAAGAGAGAGGAAGCTAAAAGTATTGTTCGGAAAATGGAGGAAGACAAGATTATAGAACTAGTCCATGGGTCTCTCTGGTAGTCCTCGTCCAGAAAGAGGATGAAACTACGAGGTTCTGTGTGGATTATTGTCAATTGAACAGAAAGTTAGTTGTTCTCTGCCTTGAATCGACGATACTTTGGACACATTGGCCGAAAGTAAACTATTTTCTACCTTAGACTTAAAATCTGGATATTGGCACGTGGAAATGGACCAAGTAGACAATTGTGGCAATTTAATGTCATGTCATTTGGACTATTTAATGTCCTCAAGACTTTATAAAGTGTTTTAAATAAATAAACTATAAATAAATTAAACAAACGTTACAGGACTATAATTAGCATTGTAACCAACTCGCTTCTTGGACGTCTGTCAATGTCAAGGAAGGTTTACTTTCGGCTCTTCGGAAGAAGGAAATACTTTTCAGCTCTAGGATAATTGATTGGTTACAAAATCAAAAAATATTTATTTTAAATTCAAATAACAATTCAAAGTTCAGAAATAAATTAATAGGTATTATTCTAATTAATATTAAATGTAAATGTCATAGAATAGATGTATAAAATGTTGCCTGGGTGAAGGTAGAACTTACGTGTGATTTTATTCAGCGGTTCTCTAATTATTATTACTTCACTTTCTGGTACACCTAATGTGTAAGAAAGACATGCAAACTAAGTAAAAAATAAAACAAATTTAAAGGTCGACAATTTTTTGAACTAATAATGACTAATAATAAAATTAATTTCGGAACTAACATTATAGGTGAAGTTCGATGAAAATTACAAAAAAAGGGGTGGTAATGAACTTGTTAATGTTACGATTTAACCAACTGTAGAGAGTTTTAAAAAATAAATGATTATACATCTGAAAAAACTTTTATTGATTGAAATAAAAAGAACAAAAGCTTGACTTGGTAGATATATTATTTTGAATATTTCCACAGTTAAAAAAGTAGACGATTGACTCAGTGATTATAGTCATGACTTTGAGATCAAAAGGTCTCAGGTTCGAATCCTGCCGATGACAAGATTATTATTTAATTTAACGAATTACATATTAATTCTATTGCATCGGTAGGATTCCCCATTCGACCCTTCATTGTTGAGTTCTAATTAACAGTGCTGTTCCTAAAGTAGAGCTGGAAAACAGTAACAAAGCCTACACAAAACACACGGCTAATAACCGTAGTAGTTGGTGCCGATTTCACAAAAAAACAAATAAATCTTACGATGATAAAGTAGAAAATTTGTTGAAAAATTCACTATATTCACATTCCACTAGGGAAAAACTAAGGAGAGTTCGCTATTGAATTTATAAAAAGGTCATTAAGAAAATTTAAAATAAATATTATAAGTAGATATTGTAGTCCTAAATATAAAAAAAAAGGTATAAAAGATTTATAAACAAATAAGACAACATTGAACAAAATGGCTAGACCAACTAAAGAATTTATTTTATTTAAAATTGAATATAAGGACATTATTACTACTAGTTCCCTCTTTATAGGAGAGACTGAATTAAAAAGTAATAACTAATACAATTTTCATGATGTACAATAAAATGGAATTATGTATCGTAAGCTCCATGGAAGTCAAACTCCGTGTTTTTACCACCATCTTCTTACCAGTTTAGTCATAATACTCGTAATTAAATTAGTTTCATATAGTGTGATTAAAATTAAAAATTTATTTGTAAATGTGGACGAATTAAAAATAGAAATATTATTTTTCATCAATTCTACACAAGTCATATATAGTCATATATTTTTCTCAGACAAAAAATCTTGATATTATAGAACATTTTGCACTTGCTAATAGTTTTGTCCTGAGGTATTCAAGCGTGTGGATTATAGGGAAAAGTGTTTCATTACTTTGTTCAACATCCTAGATGCTCCCACGAAAGGCTCACACAACCATGAAAGGCTCACACAACCATGGAAGCCATTAAGTCACCGACTTCAACCATTAGGTGTGAAAGTAGGTATATGGACCACCGCAGACTCGATATAACCAAGGGTGTAGTGATCCAGAAAATACAATTTCATATTAATAACAACAAACCTTTTTTTTCAAGCTTTTAGCAAAACCAATGATTTTTTTCGACCTCGAGTTTTCGACCGATCTTTACGTTTTGACTATTTTCGCGATGATGTGTGTGTGCGTGTATACTCGATATCGAAAACCTTTTACCGCAAAAAAATGATTTTCAATTGTTTCTTTTACAGTAAGTACACGATTTTCATGTAAAATTTGTTATAGCGTATGAAATACCTTGTATAATTTTATAATATCTGGTATTTTTATAATGAGAAAAGCGAGGGAAATTGAAATATAAAATGTCTCATTTAAAAAAAACTAATTTTGATATGTGTCGCTTTCTTGGAGAGTCGTGTATAATAGAAATTATTTTTAAATTGTTCCCTTTTTTATATATATGCTATGGAAACAGATTTAAAAAAATTAAATAGTTTTGGCACCACAGACCGAGGCGTTAACGGTGACCCACCCTGTATATAACTTTCTGTTCAGAATGTGACAAATTGAAATTAAGAATCGACCTGTTTCGGGAATTTACTTAAAAATTAATATTTTGTCAAAAAATGAATATATTCCATAATTTTTTAGACTGTACATTGTACAATTTAAAAAATGGTGGAAGCTGATGTCTCGCGTCCGCCAAAAGCGACATTCTCCAAATATTTCCATGATCGCGCGTTCGTTCCTCTTGCAATTCTATTCATTAGGGCTTTCATAGTTCATCACACTCGTCCTTTTCTTTCTCATTTCCCATTTCCCCGTTTCCGAACTAACCCGGAGACCCTTTTCAGACTCGGAACATTCGCATTTGAACTCGCTCATAAATCGAAATGCAGCTTGAGGCAATCTTTATAAATATATGCTTTAGGCCACCCACTTAACAAACATTTCACTTCAACTTTGGCGTATATTAAAACAGAGGGTGATTCGCTTGTGTAGTTTATTTTAGAAGTGAGAAAATCGTATCGAGTATGTTCGGTTCAAAGGATGTTTCAGAAACTTTTAATAAATAAATAAATAGTAAGTAGCTGCAAGTATACACTGTGTCCCATATTATAAGAGTTACACAATCGGTTAAATGGACAATATTTCTCAGGATTTTATTACCATTTCAGCGTGACATGGCGCACCCTGTATATATAACTTTTTCAGATATTTCAGTGCCACGCAAATTTTACAATTACAGTTCTAAGGTTAAAAAAATATTTTTGGGCCAAAAAACCGAAAAAACGAGTTTTTGTAAACTGTGGATTCCTCTACTTTTTGCATTTTCATCGTTAAATAGTGACCCAATAAGATAAATTGCAGAAAATATTAATACTTTCACTGATGGCTCTTTAAACCTGTACATATGTGGTGCCCACCGTACTTTCATTATAAAAATACATATGTAGTTTATACTTACTTTATTTTTTGAACGGAAATAGATTTACTTTTATAGAAATCGGTGAACTGGTAAAAAAAAATCAAAAGCAGGTTACGCGTTGAGAGCATCCATCTATAAAAAATGGCCTGCATGCCAGAGGCGTGCGGTCCATGGAAGCAGGGGAAGCACCGCTTCCCTACACTTTGAGATTTAAAAATAGATATGTTTCAGTTTACAATACGCAGAAATTAATATTAAATTAGGTACTATAATTTATCTGAAACATTACGTAAACTTCGTTAATGTACTAGCAATTCATTGGTGTAATATGTAAACGCACGCACCACCCATGAGAAAATTAATTGTGTAAACGTACAACGTACACACCATCTACTTCGAGTCCGTCAGCGGAAGCGCGTCTTGAAAGAGCCGGTTCATCTTCCAAGAGGTTTCGCTTCGTATTATTGACCCTGCTTTGCCGCAACAATAGTCAGTCCGTTTGGGAACGTGAAATACGGTCGAGAGGCAGCGATTTTTACGTCGCCTTACGCATATTGCAATTCGCACCGCGAATCGACGTGTGAGGAAAATCGTAGATTTCGGTTTGTTTTTCGTAGTTGTTTTTCTTTTTAAAAAATGGAGGAACTATGCACTGTGCCTGTGAACAATAATAATCTGGTAAATTGTGTCTGTATTGTGTGCTCTTTGTTGAAAAAGGATTTTCAAGTAGAAATTTTGAAGAAAAAACGAACATTATTAATTCTAGTAGACTAAAGGATCCTATCAATTTAGAGACGAAAGTAGAAAAGTCAGCAAAGAAATTTACCAGGCATTTTCACGTAGGGTTCTATGAAAAGTATGAATGGTTAACCGGCTGCAAAACTTTGAAGAAATTGTTTTGCTGCCCTTGCCTACTTTTTAATATAGCCGAAAAAACACATTGGAACTCAGTCGGTATTACAGACTTGAATAATTTTCACAAAAGTGGAAAACGACATGTAAATAGCAAATCTCATAGTATTACATACAATTAAAGAAAAAACATTCGGTACCTATCGCATTGAACATAGTTGGGTTAATCATTTAAAAATAAGCAACAAAATTCACAATGAATTGTGCAATTTTAATATTAGTAACTAAGATTCATCAAAATTTCCATCGGAAGCTTTTAATTCGCTAAAATTAAATTATGGAAATTTTTTCGATATTCCAGCAATAAAGTCCCAGTTAAGTGTTGTTTATGAAACATTTGAAATTAGTGATAAAAAGACGCCCATCAATGTGTTAAATTTTCTTATAACAACTGGTTTAAGTAAGTCCCTTTGTGAAGTCGTCAAGTTGTGTGAATTAGTACTAACCATCCCAGCCACAAGTGCGTCAGTTGAGCGAGGTTTTTCAGCTTTAAAGCACATTAAAAATTTTATACGACATTCAACAAGTGAAGACAGACTCTCTAATTTAGCCCTAATATCCATTGAAAAACAGCTTGTTAAACAATTATCAGAAAATCCAAAATTTTACGACGATGTTATAGACAAATTTGCAACCATTGAGGATAGACGAATAGATTTTAAGTATAAATAAATGTCAACTGTCAGTTAAATGTTTTTTTTTACGTTTAAATAAACCAAGCAAGCTTTCCAATGGTAAGTTTTTTTATAGCTTCTAGTACTAAACTAGATAATAAAGTAATAGTAACACTTCAAAAATCTCAATCTCGAATATCCGTAGTACTGAGGAAAAAAAAGCAAGATTTTGACAAAATGGTGAATGCACCGCAAAAAAATTTCGTCTGCGGCGCTGTGTTTACTGGCCTGCTGTATTTTTATACAATCACTTCCCCTTCCAAAAATGTCACCGCACGCCACTGCTACATGCCCACAACGCTCGATATAAAATTCAATATATTCCTCATTGTGGACAGTGAAGTGAAAGTTGTAGTTAACACACAACTTTTATATGAAAAATGTTTCATTGCGACTCACAGTTTTTGCATAAAATGGATTTAAAAAACATTATATGACACAAAATATCAAAGAGGAATTTGTAAAATTTAATTTTTAGCTCCTGTTATGGCCACCTAACGATTTATGAATTATAGTTAACTTAATTCGCCATTTTAAAATCAACCCTGTAAATACAGCTTTCCGTAAAAACAAAGAAAACCAGGTATTTTAACCCATACAATATTTTTAATTTCAAGCAGATCCTCGAAGAACAACCCTCTAGATCTCGTCTTGACTTTCAATCCTGCCTAGGGCACATATTAAAATATACCTGGCTAGAGTGTGTGATACGTCCTTTTCTAATAGTTTGTTCGTCTTCGTCTTTCAGTCATGCTCGAACAGGAACGACAAAGAATCGAACAGCTGACTGCAGGATGGGACGATCCCATTCAGGTGGATTGGGGTGCCGACGAAGGGGCCGAGGAAAGCGAACGAGCCAGACAGGAAGCCGTCCCTTCTGTGCCGCTGCTCAAGTGTACAGCCTTATATTCCTATACGGTAAGTTGTTATTATCAATTATAGTTTTTGTCAATTGTTCAATTTTTTTATTATTATCTATTTGGTTATTATTTAACTCCCAATCGGTTAGAATAAAAAAGACACAGTTCATCTTGTATAATTTTAACATTATTTATATTCTAAAGGTGCGGCATACACCTAGCGAACGAACACTGAATCCCGAACACCAAACATTTGATGTGTGCGTATAGGTATTATGTATTGGGCCCGGGCGCATACTCGGAAACCGCCGACACGTTAGTCTAATACGTCGGCAATTTACGAATACGAGTTATCGATGCATTTATTTACAATCAGTTAAATTAATTAAAAGTCAATACAAAAACATTTAATGTAGCGGAGTATAGGCAAATATGAAATATGTTTCTAAAATGTAATACCATTAAATTATTTTAACAACCAGTGAACGCTAAATCCAACGTATGCCGTTTTTATAATTATTTCGTAATATCGAATGTTTTGTAGGTGTGTATTAATAATATTAGTGCACAAGGGGGGTATCAACTTCCAATTTTTTATACAGAACAAATGTTTGAGCATAACATAATCGTCATAATCTCTTCATTCCTATTTAACAAATTAAACTAGTGTTGGGAGTAATCTTTGAATCTGTTACCAAAAATTAAAATGACGATGTACCTAATATGGAATAGTGTAGTGTCCGCGATTTGAAATTCACAAGTAAATGATTGCCACCTGTTTCTATTGCAATGGATAGACGTCACTGGTAAACAGTAAATAAACTACAAGAAATGTTTATGTTCGTACCATGTCGACTGTTTAGGGACAGAAAACAATATATGTTTGTAAACATTTTGTAAAGGAGTTAAAATACATTCTCCTGATATATGCGATGCAATTCTTTTATGTTAACTGATTTGTTTTTTCATGTAGCATGAAGTAAAATATTTTGTGTAAAGGTGCTTTTTTATTTTTCCTTGAAACATGTGTTCCATATTAGGGACTATTAGGAAATATGATATTTCCTATTCGGTATTTTATGAGTTTTAAGATATGAGCCGAATAACACGTTGTTCTAGGCAACAGCCGCACAAACCACAATCACAGTGATTGACTGTTTTGAATAGACGGCTAACAGGGACATATTCCGTATTAGGTACAAAAATACAATTTTCTATAGAATATTTTTCTGTGGCTCCTGTATAATAGATTTAATATTATGAATAATAAATTATGGTTTTCAAAGATGTAAAGAATCTATACAAAAAAATAAGGAGATATTCTGAATTTAATATGTACAAAAACAAAACGGTATTCCATAATTGGCTAACTTCTTCTATCTAAATACTAATTTAAACTACTTTTTTGATTAAGCTTAGTTTTTTTTTATCCCACTTTATTTTTAACACTCGTCGTCAACGACTGAGGTGCTTTCGTAACTCTATTTTAATTAGTTTTCTTCCACTGCAAATTGTCTTCTTTCCTCCCAGTGTTGGCTTTCTGCGACCAATGGATGTGCTGATATGTGCTTTCCTCTTTTTGGTGTACCTAGAGTTCTTTTCCTTTTACACAATAATCCTTTATATTATTATGGGGTATTATTAGGTAATGTCCTTAAATTCGTTTTGAAATTTATTACCAATTTTATTAATTTAAAATCACCTATTATGGCACGAACAATAAATTAAAAAATAATCTGAATAGAGACTTGCATATACCTAGGTAATAGAAAAGGGAAACTAAAATTGTCTAGTGATGAGTGATGATTGATGTCCAGTAAACAAACATTTTTTATTTCATAAAGCGCCGATGTATTAGTTCTAACACGTCGGGATTTTACGAGTTTGTCATTCGCGGCATCGAACTCTTTCGAGTATCCAACGTGTCGGCGGTTTCCGAATATGCGCCCGGGCTGGGCCATGGGCCAACAACGGGCCCAGATTTGTACGGTGTCGTATATCTACCACGTGATGGAAAACAACTTACAAACATTTTTAGGGAACATTAGGTATATTGATTTAATTAATATTACACTATGTTAAATAGGTACATAACAAATAGGAACATACCACGAGCAGTTTATAACTTTGTGGTACTTTCTATATTTATTTACGTACACTATTAAATAAGTTGTACAATGTAATTTCATTTTTTGGTAAATAAATATATATTATATTATAGTATGTGTGTATTATATAATTGTTATATTCTATTATTCTATCATAGAATATTTATTAATCGGCGGGTTCAAAAAAAAAGGAGGTACTCAATTCGTCGGAATATTTTTAATATATGTTCAGCGATAATTCTTTAACACGTTGTCCGATTTCTATTATTCATTTTTATTAGACAGGGATACTTCAGGAGTGGTCCCATTTAAATTTGGTCAAGATATAATAATTGGGTCCAGAAAATCAGAAAACTCAATTTATAATGGCATCTGCTATTATTATTTATTTATTTATCAGCTTTTTCAATTTTTCTTTGGTTCGTTTTTACTTTGGAGATATGATGGTGTAATTTTCATAATTTCGTAGGGGGAACTAAGGATTTTTCATATTCAGAATTTTCAAATCTGCATTTTCTTTTATTGCTACAAAGTAACTTTGCCGCTCTAGAGCGCCAATAATGTCAAATTATGACAAATCGCGGAAAAGCCTACTTTGGATAGTGATTGTAAAAAAATGATTTGATTGTACACGTTCGGTGTTCCGATTAGGAGTTCGATTTGTTTTCCCGTTTACTGTATATCAGACTGCTTTAATGTCTTTAAAACGATTAATTACGATCCTCTTCCGTAATAACTTCTTCCAACTATAAAAGACGTTCTGAGAAAACTATAAAAACAAGTCGTAAAATGTTGACTGTCCGTATTATAGCCATGTTGGGTTTGACGGGCAATAGTCAGCCGTTACGTTTCTATGTCTTTTCAATTTCGGTAAAATGTTCGAATCAATATCTTCAAATTTTATTATACACTGCATTGGTGGATTATATCTTGTTCTTGCCTTAACATTATGGTTATAAACAACCATTTCCTTCATTTTTAAACATCAATTTTGGATGAATCGTTTCAATTAAATTAAGGTTAAAAAGGACGATTTGTTTTAACGGTCCTGACAGATTTAGAGCGTAAATCAAAGCATATTCCAATTTAATCTTAAATAATGGCATCACGAGAAATCTCAATTAAAGTCCATATCAAGTTAATTTGAATTTGTGGAACAAACTATTGTGGTATAGAAGCTGACGCTTATTTGGATTTATACAAGTCTGAGCCAATATATTTCAGAGGCAAAATGTCCCTTAAATATTAATAGTTCGTTCATTAAACAAGATATTTACACGAAATATCTATATAGAAACGGGAACTGTCACTTGATTCCTTATAATAAGAACCTGTATCAGCTTGTCCTGGGCTGTAGGAGGACTCCAGATCAACGCTTATTAATTTTGAAGAAAAAATTGCTATTGCATTCATGACGAGAAGAAAATTATCCCTACTTTTTAACACTGACCACTCCTAATTTGCATGATGTCCACAACGATCTCCCAATCTGCCCTGAAAATATAATACTACCAAACATGGGCATCGTTTGGCGAGGGCAAGGGGGGGGCAGTTGCCTCCCTGGCTTTTACTAAATTAAGTACTAAAATTTAGCCCTAAATTAAGTTATTAATTTAGTACTAAATTTAGAACTAAAATTATTTTTTTCCTTTTGCAAGAATACCAATTTTTAGTACTAAATTAAGTATAGGCGCAAGCGCATTGACGTATTATTACGTGAAATTAGCACAGAAATTAAATATTATGTGTAAATGAGACAAGTGAATTAAAAGATGTTTTTATTATGACTTTGACACTAGTTGACTTGACAACAACCAAATGCAGCAATGCTACTAAAAACTACGAAAAAACACAATAAAACTTACAAAATCAAACACAAGCAAAATTTGTCCAAGGCGATAATGCAAAGTTGTTGCTAACCAAAAACAAAATGGTGCAGAAAAGATCGTTGTCTCAACTTTTTCCTTGAAAAACTTCTGCGCAACATTTCAACGCATTTTTAATACTAAATTTAATAGAAAATATAACAAATTCCAATTAATTAATTATTTTAGTACTAAATTTACTGTTTGCACCACGTCCAGCCTTAATATACGAATTACTGATATTTCGTTAGGTAGGTACTATGTGCCACAGTTTGACAACGCTGTATGAGGTAAAATTACGTATCTAACACAATTACACAACTGGCACTGGCTCCAGCGTTGCCAGAGCTGGTACAATTGTACAGATCTGGTACATTTTGGGTCCGTTTGTACAAAAGTACATTTTTAATATTTCTGGTACATTTTGTACAATTTTAAACATTGATCTGACGGCACGAATTTTTTAAAATAAAAATCGATAAATTTCAAAATGTTTTTAAATCAGTAGCAAAAGAAAAATAAGTATTTTACTGTAAAAAATGGATAGGTTCGTATTAATATTTGTTAGGGTTGTTAGGTCTACAGTAAATTTTATATATTATAATTATTATTAATACATAATTAAAACTATTGTAATTAACAGGTTTGTAATAAGAAAAGCAAAAGAGGCAGATCCGAGGTTTAGTATTTCTTAGCCTTCTACTTCATCAGGTGCATCTACACTAGACCATATGATAAAAAATAAATTCCGACACAATTACTTTAGAACAAAGTAGTGATTTATCAGAATATGAATTTGCGGCAACGTCATCCAGTCGGAAATGTAGGGATAGATCTCCACCGCAGGCAATTTTTTTACTGTAAAATATTTTTGTTCTGCAAATAAATCCTGCTTTTCCAATGGCATAGCATGACGCCTACAAATGCCATAATTTATTTTAAATAATAATAAGACCAACGCTTCCTCTAGTCATTTAATTGCTTTGTAGAGAAAATGAAATATGATCATAAATTTAGACAAAGTTTCCATATGGATAAAACTACTTTGTAATAGAAAGAAAATTTGCTTTTTATGTAATCACAGA